GCCTGTAAGAAAAGTGTTCTGGTATGAGATGAGGAGAATAATTTATAGCTGGTAATATCTCGGTCTACTATTTTCTCTTTAAAGCAAATGAAGAAATTTCAAAACTTACTTGATGAAATTGGGTATGATTCTGAAAGCTATAATGGTCCGTGATTGAATTTCAGAATTAGTCAAAGTGTTTTTCTACCGATCAGGTTGTTTTTTCCTAAAAACGGTGTTGGTGATCCGTAAATTAAGAACTGAAACTAGATGATATTCGAGTTTCACTCGTACATGAAATGCGATGTGAAGCAAGAATCCGTATATCGTACGAAAAATCTTCAATTGATAGGTATTAAATAGTTTTTCTATAGCCATAATGCAGTTCATCACTGAGAAAACTATTCTTACTTGGCGATCTATTCTTAAGGGTCGATTTCGATTCGTCGATTAATTATCTCCATGATTGGGTGTGGGTATAGATTAGCAGAAGAATCACACCCACACTTCAGCGCGATAGAGAGAGAGATCTCCTTTTATTCTTATGTTTTCCCTTCTAGTTAATATTCCTGCTGATGCTAAATGGTCACAGGGCGGAGTGACTATTGCTGGAGGTAACGGGGCTGGAAGTGCCACTAATCAACTCAACTTGCCTTATGGTCTCTTCGTTGATGATGATCAAACAGTGGTTATGGCTGACTACAACAATAATCGTATCATGCAATGGAAGAACGGTGATACAACGAATGGACAAGTTGTTGCTGGTGATAATGGCCAAGGAAATGGATTAAATCAATTGAATCATCCAATTGATGTATTAATTGACAAAGAGACGGATAGTCTCATTATTTGTGATTATGGGAATGGACGAGTTGTACGATGGTCTCGTCGTAGTGATACAACACAAGGAGAAATACTCATCGGCAGCCTCCGATGTGCTGGATTAGCAATGGATAAGCAGGGATATCTCTACGTCGCTGACTGGCATACAAATGAAGTAAGGCGATATCAATTTGGTGAGGAGACTGGCACTGTCGTAGCTGGTGGTAATGGACAAGGTAATGGACTCAATCAACTCAACAACCCGACATATCTCTCTGTCGATGGACAACAGAATGTCTACGTATCAGACTGGGGCAATAATCGTGTAATGAAATGGAATAAAGATGCAACAGAAGGTATTGTGGTCGCTGGAGGACAAGGCCAAGGGAATGCTTTGACACAATTGTATTCTCCACAAGGAATCGTCGTTGATACGTTGGGTACACTCTATGTAGCAGACTCGTATAATCATCGTGTAATGCGTTGGACCCAAGGAGACCAGAAGCAAGGTAGTGTAATTTTAGGTGGAAATAATTCAGGAGCAGGAGCAAATCAGTTCAACTACCCCTTTGGTTTGGGTTTCGATCAAAATGGTAATCTCTATGTCACCGATTATGGTAATCATCGTGTTCAACGATTTTCTATCGAATAAAACTTGTGAATTGTTTTTTCTTTGTTCGTTTCTTTTTCCACACCCTGAAATGAATGAACAAAAATAAGCAATTTCCTTTTACCTTTTCACTTCAACGAAAAGAAAAAAGCTAAAATATAAGTTTACATCACATGTTTCTTTTCTTGTTCTTTTATTTATTTGTTAAATGAAAAGAAATAAATAAAATAAAAGATTTTGTTTTCTTTCATAAAATATTTATTATTGAAATGAAAAGAAAATAATTTGAGTTATTTAAATAAAGTTTATTTTAAAAATCAAAAAAATTAAATTACATAAAAATTAAACAACAAGAATCGAAAATTTATATACTTACATTTGTGTTCGTTTGAATTGAATTGAATTGTTTGTTGAATGGAACTAAAACATAAAAAGTAACAATTAATTTTATTTGTTTGGAATAAGAAAATAAGTGAAAGAAATTATATTTACTTTGCTGTTGAAGAAATCGAAATGAACTAAAACGAAACAAGCAGAAATGAATTTGATTGGTATGAAA